ATCAAACTTGGACTCAATACTTAATTCAGAACTTGGAATAAAACCATTCCCAAATTGCTAGTCAAAGCGTGGGCCATCCATGACATTCAAAATAAAGCCCGTGCAATCAACAGGTGGTCACTCCCCAATTACAGAAACAAAACGAAACATCCAATTATGGCCTTACTAAAAACACACTGAACCCTACAAACTGAAATGCCTGAACCACTGTTCAGAATTTGAGAACTCCTGTATAGATCCAATACATTGCACATAACACATAGCAGGAAAGAGAACAAACACCCCTATGGAGGGTAGGGTTATCCTGTCCTAGCTTTTGAAATGATCTAGGGTTCATTATTCAAACAAGTGGTATCATACATCCTAGAAATGGGAGAGCATCATGTCCTATTGTTGGAAGGTACTAGAGTTCACCATATGCACAAGGTTAGCTGTACTCTAGGGGTTGAAGTCAAGGTGACATTACCAAAGAGTCCTTTGGGTCATAACCAATGAAGATCTTAGGAAATCAAAAGAGTCAATAAAGCTTCTCTTCAAAGTCTGAGAATCTTTAGATCTCAAAATATTATAACACAAGGCCTCTAGAGTAACGTAAAAAATAGGTGTAGTGTCACAAAAAGAGTGCCTGTGTTCCCACCAGTATCTGGGCAACACAAGAACTTTAAATGCACCAATGCATGCAATGCAATAAACATATAATGTGAAAATAAAAGTCATATCATGGAGTTTGAGTCAAGGTTTCATAAAATCCCCAGCAGAGTCGCCAAAAACTGCAACATGCCTGGGGGGTAATCGTGCACGTTAAACAGTTCGGACCCTCGATTTCTTTGATCTAGTCTCTCACGAGTGCAATGTGAAATATAGATGAGAGTCCAGATTTGACAACTTTATAGAAAATCCATTTTATTACAAAATTATTGCCACAAATGGACTGCGTCATCAGATCTCAGAGTCGCCACCTAATATTTTGGGAAATTAGGAAACCCATGACTCGTTCCAAGGCCACCATTCGTCATAACCAAAGTTGTCTCGGTTCGGAACCTTAGGTATGAGAGGGAAAGGTCATTAATTGAGCACCCCTGCTCATCTGATCAAAAGATCGGCATTTACTAACCATGATATGAATTTTATTTTCTTTATATGTTCATGTTCTGATTTATTTAATAAATCTTAAAATTTACTATGTGAAATATAAAAGTATAGACTATGTCACCCACTTTGAAACAACTTGATTTCATGTAGTCTTGAAAGGGTTTTAAGGATGTACAACCCAAATAAATTGAGTTTACAAACATAAAAATCAACATCATTCCAAATTAAGCGACACCACCTCCATCCACTGGCATTCATAGAGTTATATCACATAAGCAAATAGCCTTATGGTAGAATGCTAAACATAGTAAGAAAAACACACACAAACGGGATGCTAAAGCATAAAAATTACACGTTTGACATCTCGCAAACAAGCTACAAAACAAAGTTAGTAAAACATGCATGATCTTATATACAAAATCCTAATGCAATTCACTCATGAGATGCAACTAAAGATTCGGCTTCTAAGATATGACATGTGAATCATCTCAAGAATATGAGGTAACACACATAATCACATAGGAATTGATTAAATCCACAAATGCAAACTTAGCCGAATCAAGATGCATAAAACATGGATGCAAAGCATGGATATAACGAAAAACAAAATATGATGCACATTCACAAATAAACAAAGCAAGTAAAAGAATGGGATAGCAAGATGCGAAGAGGGGGATAATTACAACACTTGAAAGAATAATTACAAAGAAAATAAGAGAGGGATGAGGAGAATATTACAACAAAATAAAAACCTCACAAAACACTCAAAATAAAATAAATAAAAGAAAAAGCTTCATGTGCCTTGGAAACCACCAGAAGTTGGTCAACATTGGGAGATTACGCCATCTTGTCCAAAAGAAGCTAACCGACCGGCCAAATAGGCCGGCCCGCCAACTAGGCCAAGCAAAACCTATCTTGTTGCGAAACCAAGAAAAGGAACAAACAAGAAATATGTTGGTGGCTCAACTAACCACTATCAGTTAGCTTTCAACACAACTAATATGAAACAAGAGCAAGCAAATAAGCAAAAACTAAAATAAAATAAATAATAATAATAATAGTAATAATAATAATAATAATAATCTTTTGAGGTGGAAGACCATGTGTTTTTGAAAATATCACCTAGGCGGGGTTTGAAGAGATTCAGGAAGAGTGAGAAGTTATCCCCTTGATTTATTGGGCCTTTTAAGATCCTTGAAAGAATTGGGGAGGTTGCTTATCGTTTGGCGCTGCTGCCACAACTTTTCGGAGTGCATGACGTGTTTCATATTAGTATGCTTCGGAAGTATGAACCAGATCCATCGCACGTGTTGGATTGGACTGAGTTGGAGGTAGATGAGGATGCCTCATATGAGGAGATACCGGTGAGAGTTTTGGATAGAAGGGACCAAGTCTTGCGAGGCAAGACAATTCCATTAATTAAAGTTTTATGGAAGCACCACGGACTTGAGGAAGTAACTTAGGAGTGTGAATTGGAAGTCCGAGAGAAGTATCCAGACTTATTTGTTGATGTTTGAACATGTATTGTATTGTGATTATGATTGGTAAAATGTGAGAACATTGTATATGTTGTTTACATTTTGGAAACATGAGTTTATTATAAACATTGCATATGTTTGAAATATGGAATATCATATGTATTATATCACTTTTGGAAGCATTGTATATGCTATGTAGAATTTTGAAAACTTGGACCTTGATTTAAACATTGTAGATGTTTTGGGAAATTGTAAATTTTATTGTAATTTGGGACTTGTGTATCGAGTCGATGAGAAAGGATGACCAGAGAATGGGTCATGGTGATGGACTTGTAAGAATAACATTGTTGTGAATGATCTAATGTTGATTTTGAACTTAATTTGTAAATTTCGGGGACGAAATTCTTTAAGGGAGGGAGGTTATAGCGATCTCGGTTTTGACCCAACTCTTATGGTATTCCGGACTCAGGTTTAATGCTTTCATATTGTTGTTTACCTCATTCGTCCCTTGTATCTCTTGAAATTGGCCTTTGGGTTGTTGTGGTTGTGTTTGGAGCAGGTTGGTTGCTTGTTTTGCCAAACCTTTGTTGCCTAGATTTTGGCTCTTGCACTCAAGCGGGCATTCTTGTGCTCGCTCGAGCGGGCTTCACAAATTTTGCTCCTTCGCTCGAGCGGACATTCTTGCGCTCGAGCGGGATTTGTCGACTTTCAGTATTTTTACAGACCTGTAAATATTGGGAGAATGTATTTGACGATCGAGCGGCGTTTTCTATGCTCAAGCGACCCTTCTTACGCTTGAGCGGTTTGTCTATTGTCTGCAAAAGTATTGGTGGTGTGTATTCTGTGCTCAAGCGAGTCCCTTTTTGCACTCGAGCGGAATAAATTTTTGTGTCTGACACTCGAGCATCAACTCTTCTGCTCGAGCGGACTGTGCGTGTATTAGGTCACGAAAGTGACATTTTATATCACTTTTTCACTCATTTCTCTCTCTAAAACATTCCAAAAACCTAGATTGAGACTTTTTCTCTCTCTAAAACTTACCTTCTCTCTACATTTCTACCTAGATCTAGTGATTTCTCAACCCAATTCCCTTTGATAAAGAGGTAGAGCTTCTCAAGATGTTCACTTTGATCCGACTAGAGTGAAATTTCAGCACCTTTGGGGTTTCTTTCTTGCTTGGCTCATCTTCTCTCTTTGAGGAACGGATTCTCTACACTTTGTTATGGTTTTTAACTTAGTTATTTGTGGTTATGTAACAATGATGGGTTTTTGGGGTATTTTGAGCCAAACCTAGGGTTTGGGTGAATTGTAAAAGAGGGGTTTTTGGTGGAAATGAAATAAATGAACATGGGGTTTGAAAATGAAGTCATGTTGTGTCAAAATGGGTGATTTTGGTTTTTGGATTGGTATTATAAAAATGGAGATTTTGCCCTAAAATGATTATCATATGTATTTTGTATAAATAGTTGAAATTGGTGTTGCAAACATGGAATTGAGCGAGTATTGAAATAGATGGTGGAATTGAGTATGTAATAATGCACACCTTCGGAAATTTTGAATAAAATTATCAATCTTGAGATTGTATATCTGTTTAGAAATATGTGTATTGGGCTATTGATGGAGGATAGCTTTGATTTTTGTAGAAATTGCATGTGGATTAGGTGAATTGAAACTAATCACTTGTTGGTCGTCATTGAATATGACTATGTGTAAATACATTGTATATGTATGGTTATTTGGGAGGAGAAATGGGATGTACTCCATATGTGATTATGTATTTAAATAAATTGTATATGTATGATTGTTTGGGAGGAGAAAGGGGATGGACTCCATTATAATTAAGTTGGCCGAAGTGTCCTGGGTGAAAGTTTCGAAATTTGTGCATGGGTGCCAATCCCGTGGACGAAATATCCGTAAAATGGCCGTTGGAAGTGTTTGTGTGTTAATTGTGAAATTGTTGAACCTTTGAGTTGTAGTCTCATTTGGGTTATTGAGAAATAATTTAACTGGCTCAGGTATTGAAATGAATTGAAGGAAAATGAAATGAAATATGGACTTGATGTTTTTTTATGAATATATAAATGAGAATGTAAATGTTTTATCCCGGACATTGTACATGTACATGCACATTGCACTTATACCTTCATTAAATCTCATATATTGTGTTAGATTATTCCTACTGAGTTATGGCTCACCCTATTTGGGAAAAACTTTTTCAGGTAATGATGACATGCCTCTGCCAAGGCAATAGCAATGGAGGGACCTTTGAGAAGCAAGAGCTTCTTCGTTTTGTCTTATTTTGGTCTAGCCTAAGGCTTAAGTTGTATGAGCTAGTCTCATTTTTGTTGTAACCAAGTCAAGACTTGGAAAGATATAAGCATATATGGCATTTATTTATGTTAAACTCTTTTGTACTATTTATGTTATGAAATGGAAGGACTTCCTTTAGCCCTTCTCAAGAAAATCAGAGAACCATGGAGGAAATGTCTGATTGTGAGATTGTTGGGGAAAACAATAGGTTACAAGTTGTTCATGATGAAAATGACGAAACTTTGGGGTTTGCAGGCTGATTTTGAGGCTCTGGACATAGGCAATGGACTTTTCCTAGTTAAGTTCGATATGGCAGATGATTATATGAAAGTCTTCACTGGTGGTCCTTGGATTGTGATAGATCACTACGTAACGATAAGAAAATGGCAGCAGGACTTCAAACCTGATGAAGCCGAAGAGGACACCACAGCTATCTGGGTGAGATTCCCTAATCTACCCATCGAATACTACAATGAGAAAGTTCTATACCATATCGCAAAAGTGTTAGGTGTTTCCCTGAAGATCGACATCAATACGGTAATGGCGGCAATGGGAAATATGCTCGAGTTTGCGTGGAGATGGATCTCTGAAAACCCTTGATTTCATATTTCTCTATAGGTAAATATACATATAGAATTGAATATGAACACCTGCACTCACTATGTTTTTCTTGTGTCAGGATTGGGCATCGACGGGAATCTTGCAGTGACCAACCTAGAGGCATACCGACTGAGATTGGCCAAACTCCAAACGGAGAAGACAGTGAGAAACTGAATACAAACCCCAGCACTGGGTCAGACCCAACAAACAAGGCACAACCGAAGGATGCACACAATGTAAGATACGGGCCTTGGATGACTGTGTCCAATAAACAAAGAAAGCCTAAGAGCCCAAATATGAACAAGTGGGCAAGTACCCAAAGCAGTAACAAACTTGAAGTCCTCACAGATAATAGAGAGCACGCCAAGAGCAACCAAGCCCATGATGGAAAGGAGGAACATACAAGAGGCAAAGCCCACACAAAAATAGGCTTTAAGTACAAGACTAGGCCAATTATGAAGTCAAGAGATAAGAGAAATAGCACTGACATGGCTACAGATAAAAAATGAGAGGAAATCAGACTGGGCAAGCAAGGAGTGTCTGACATGAAGATTTAGAATCATCTCCCAGGTCTAAAGAAAGGTGAGCTTGTGATCTATTCTAGCCACCCTACTCACATACCATCAAATCACTTAACCTCCACTAGCCACCAGCTACCAGAAAACCATCTGTGCACCACCACTAACCAAACTCCACCAAAACAACCCCAACCTAGAACAACCAAGACCAAACACAGAGAACCACCAGAAAAAAAATGGAAGAGGTAGAGAAGAACTTCCCAATGATGCAGCACAGGCTGAGTCAAAATAGAGCTTTGGTGTGTCTAACACCAGGGAAAGAAGTATATCACCTTATCACCTCCGAATGGTGGAACGAGCAAGTAAAGGTGAGCATACAACCGTAGAGGCAAGTAAATGTGAATCAAGACCAACACTACATCTCGATATCTCCTTTGAAATCGATGGACAGCAACTTCAAAGCAATATGGGGCTATCTGGCTCTTGGAGACCAAAACTCACTCCCTAATCAAGATATACCCTCCATGGACTTGGAATTGTAGAGGTGCAAGTAACAAGAGGTTCAAAAAAAATATGCGAGAATTAGTTCAAATCCATCAACCAAAACTGCTCATCCTTAAGGAGACTAAGGTGGACTTTCAGTCTATGGGAATGTTTTTCAACTGCATAGGATTTACTGCCGCTGCTCATGTGGATCCAACTGGGCGCAACGGAGGTATATGGATGATCTGGAACCCTAATGTTGTTAATGTTCGAGTAGTAGACGCCAATTCCCAACTAATCACGGCAACTATATCTAGACAAGATTTCCCATATTGGCTTCTTTCTGCTATCTATGCAAGCCCACAAAGCAATAAGAGGGAAAATCTTTGGGAGCACCTGGAAGCTATTTCTCAAAGCATGAACCAACCTTGGCTAGTGGCTGGGGATTTCAATGATTTCTCCAACACAAATGAGAAACACAGTCTATCTGGTAATCCAAACAATAATCAGAGTCAGGATCAAAGGAGGAGTAGAAAATTCACCGAAAGGATGAACAACTGTAACCTCATGGACCTGGGATGTTTAGGACCTAGACTGACTTGGTCTAACAACAGAAAGTGATGGGCAAACACTATGGTTAGATTAGACAAAGCTATGTGAAACACTGAGTGGCGAACCAGCGTTCTTCAAGGATTTGTTCGCAACCTGCCCCGCACATATTCAGATCACTCTCCTATGATGGTGTTCACTCAAGGTATGTCTCTCTTTAAGCCTACTTGCAAGCCTTTTAAATTTCTTGCCGCTTGGATTTCTCATGCGGGCTTTAAATCAGTGGTGGATAATAGTTGGTCTAAAACCAACCCATCATTGAGCAGTAAGCTGGGGACCTTAGCCCATGATGCGAGTACTTGGAACAAGGATGTTTTTGGCAACATATTTCGTAAGAAGAGGTGGTTACTTGGGAGGATTGAGGGCATACAAAAATCACGAGCAACACTCTTTTTCCATAATCTCCATAATCTTGAATTGGATCTTGTTGATCAATACAACAAAGTTTTATACTAGGAAGAACTTTTGTGGTTCCAAAAATCCCGCTACAACTGGATCACTCAGGGTGAAAGAATACTAAGTTCTTCCACCTCACAACCCTGGCCAAAAGAAGGAAGAGGAGGATTGAGATTCTTAAGAATGATGATGGTGTTTGGGTTGAGCAACCCAACATACTTAAGTCTATGATTACTAATTACTTTATTAACCTGTTCAGCTATTCCTCTCTTGTCTTCCTTCAGCATTGGAATAATGTGGTGAGATGCAAAATTATTGGTGATGATAATGCCCAGCTTACTAGCACTGTCACTGATGAGGAAATTTTTTTTGGGAGGGGGGGCTGTGAAGCATATCAATGCCTTTAAAGCCCCTAGTAGAGATGGGTTTCATGCTCTCTTCTATCATACCTACTGGTTTATCATTGGACCTTCTGTGTGTGACATCGTGAAAACCTGCTTTTTGACTAGGCATATTCGTCCTAAAGTTAATAGAACTCTTGTTGCCTTAATTCCTAAGATTGAGAACCCTGAGAATCTTAAACAGTTTCGGCCCATTAGCCTTTGCAATGTGACCTATAAAATCATTTCCAAAATTATTGTGAACAGGATTAGGCCTTTATTGAGCAAAATTGTTAGGCCCAACCAATGTAGTTTTATTCCTGGTAGGAATACTAGTGATAATATCATTATTTCTCAAGAAATTATTCACTCTTTGCACATCAAAAAAGGAAAAAAATGGGGCATAATCTTGAAAATTGATTTGGAAAAGGCTTATGATAAAATCTCTTGGGATTTTTTAAAACAAACTCTTGAAGAATTCAACTTTGACAACAATTTGATTGATCTTATTATGTGTTGTGTTACAAATGTGACTACTGCTATTATTTGAAATGAGGAGCCTCTTGAGGAATTTAAACCCAAGAGAGGTCTGAGACAGGGTGACCCCTTATCTCCTTACCTGTTCATTTTATGTATGGAGAGACTTTCTAATATGATAAGTCTTAAAGCTGACAGCAAGAGTTAGAAAGGGATTCAGCTTACCAGAGGTGGGCCTAGCATTATTCATTTGTTCTTTGCATATGACCTTATGCTTTTTGGCCAAGCCTCTATGAATACTTGTAATGTAATCATGGAAGTCATGGAGGAGTTTTGTGCCATCTCTGGCTTGAGCCTCAATTCCCACAAATCAAAACTGTATGTTTCCCCTAATATTGAGAGAAGGCAGGCAAGAGAGTTAAGTACCAAATGTGGTGTTCCCTTAATTGCTGACTTAGAGAAATACTTGGGGGTTCCACTCATTCATGGTAGAGTGAGTAGAAGACATTTTAATGAAATTTTGGAGAAAATGAAAAAAAGATTAGCTGGGTGGAAAGCCAGTACCTTATTTATGTCAGGCAGAGCCACTCCCATTCAATTTGTTAGCTCTGCCATCCCTTTTTTATACTATGCAAACCATGTTACTACCCAAATAGGTGGGTGATGTCATTGACAAGCTGAATCGAAATTCCTATGGAATGATACTCAGGAAAGGAAGAGAACTCATCTGGTAAACTGGGATGTTGTGTGCAAAGAAAAAAGGCATGGTGGCTTGAGCATTTAAAAGGCCAAGTTTCAGAATTTAGCTTTGTTGACTAAGTTGGGCTGGCACCTACTTAGCAATAAAGAAGGCATGTGGTGTGATGCTTTGAAAGATAAATACTTAAAAAACATCTCCCTTCATGCTTGGCAGAAATGGAGGAAAGCCTCTCATTTATGGAGAGGTATCATGGCTACCAAAAATATCTTGTGGAAAGGTGTGAAATGGAAAGTTGGAAATGGTATGTTTGTGGATGTGTGGAAAGATTGGTGGTGTGGAACCAAGTCCTTTGAGGATCTTGTGGTTACCACTAACCAACCTAATTCCCCTGCATCTACCAACCTTAGCAGGGTTTGTGACCTTTTAACAGTTGATGGTAACTGGGATGAAGATGTCATCCAAAGAAATCTCCCAACTTGTTTTGCTCTTGTGATTCTGGGACAACCTGCACCCTCCTTTTTGGAGAGGGATAGTCCTGAATAGAGAGGCTCACCTGATGGGTCTTTCACTGTGTCCTCTGTTTACAATCTCCTCCATGGGACTCATGACCAGGAGGAGGATTGGGCCTGGCTTTGGAAACTCAACTTGCCTCAGAAGCTCAAAGGCTTCCTATGGATTGTCTTCCGTGGAAAACTTCTCACAAACCAAATGAGACTCAAGAGAGGTTTGACTGATGACCCTCAATGCCCTAGCTGCTATGGGATTGAGGATAGCTCTCACCTCTTTAGGGGTTGTTATAAGGCTAAGGAAGTGTGGTTAGCTATTTTTAACAAACACTGGTACCTAAATATGATGGGGAAATCTTGGTTTGAATGGCTTAAGAGTAATTCTCAAAACAAAAAACATTTTAATGTACACACCTCTTGTCAAACTGTTTTTGTCATTACTCTATGGAAAATTTGGAAAAACAGAAACTCTAAAATTTTTGAGGAAAAATCTATCCCCATCCAAGAGAGTGTTAAATTTATCTTAGATTACTCTAGAGAGGTCAACCAGGCATTTCTCCATTCCATATCTAATCCCAAAGCTTCCTATAGACTAATCAATTGGTGTTTACCACCTGCAGGCAGCCTAAAACTAAATACTGATGGCAGCAGGAAAATTGGAGGGGCTGGAGGATTCGGAGAGCAGATTAGAGATGCAAGAGGTGCTTAGGTGTGTGGCTACTACGGCAACTTGCAAAGTGGAGCAAGCTTGGAAGCTGAACTATGGGCTGTCTAGAAGGGCCTCATTGTCATCTTGCAGAAAGGATTGAACAAAGTGCTCATTGAGTCCAACGCAACCCAAGTGGTGCAATTGGTGCAAGAAGAGCCCAATGACAACTGCCCCTTTAAAAGACTTGTAGAAGATATTAAAATTATGTTTAAAGGGTGTGAATGCACTATGCAACATATTTGGAAGGAAGGAAACTTATGCACGGATGCTTTGGCTAAAATGGGAGCTGCCCAACCACAAGACATGTTGGTAATGAATGATCTGCCGGCTGACCTTCGAAGTCTCTTAGTGTTAGACATGATAGGAATGTCAAGAGAGAGGGCTTAGCCTCTGTTTGTTGATCTTTCTGTTGTACCCAAAAAAAGAAAAAAGAAAAAAAAGGAGGCAACCCTCAAAACATTACACATATTCACCCACACACCTCACTTCTTAACACCACACAAGCACACATGCACACACCCTTGAATTCCTACACACACACACACACACCCAGATTTCTCAGCACCCACACAAATTCCTCAACACACCCAGATTCCTCAACACACCACACACCCCACACCCACACCCACACCCACACCCATACCCATATACACCCTCAAATTCTAAACCATTCCACAATTCCATTTATGATTAAGATTAACTTAATTAGGTAACACATAGTCTTAATAAAT